AGAAGTAGATGCGTGGGGTGAGACTGAAGGTCCTTCCAGACTGTCTCCAGCGATGGATGTCTAAAGGAAGGCTATAGGCACCGGGCAGTTGTTCCTCGCCTTAATACTTGCCCAGGTTCCAAGCATTTTTCAGTTCAGGAGCTTTCTAAATTGGATGTGGTTTCTAAGCACCTGGTTAATCCTCAGTGGATTTCTCTTCAAGGAGCTTGCCCGGTCTCATCTCAAGCCCGTGGAGTTTTATCACCCAGCTCATTCTTTGGCTCCACAAGCCAACATCCTATTGAGGGTGAAAGCACCAGCATAAGGTAAGACCAACCATGCTTGCACAGAAGAAGTCTGTCTTGTCTCATATAGGCTAGAAAAGCCCTACTGAAAAGAGCCAAGAGGAGTATGAGAGTCAGTCTCATTAAATTGGTTTCTGCAAGGTGCTGGGAGGCTTTTATTTCGTTTTCTTTAAAGAAAATAATTTTTCTGAGACTCATGGTAAATTTCAAGAGAGAAAAATAATGACATATAATGTGGGCTAAAGCTTGTCATCAGTTCATGACTGCAATTTGCCAAGCCTGGGCCTCAGACAAGTGCCAATATGAGACAGAAATGCCATTTTAGAGAGCCAAGCAGGACTTGGCTCTTTACCAGTTTGATTTACTCAAATATGAAAGTTTGAAAAAGTTCAGTGAGCTGCAGTGTTGAAACGTTGAAGATGACAGATTACTGGGCAAATGGCTAGATCAAAGCTGCATTTTTTTCTTCTGAACAGACTTTGCAATGCCTATATTCAATAATTATAATAATTTAATGATTCCTCTTTTGGCTTGCACAGCAGAGGAATGCAATGCATATTAAACCAGCATGTTTTTCCAAAAAATTTAAAACAAATAAAGTATAGCATTATTCAAACCTAACAGGAGCTTTTCCCATGTTAGTAGGAGCACCACATGCTAATTATTGTAATACATTTCGTTAAGAGCAAGTCAGCTTGGCTTAGTTGATGGGTGATAACCAAGTATAGAGTCAGAAAAAGCCTCCTGTTTGAGACCACAGCATGACAGGTGTGAACACTAGTGACTCTCTGTGGCTTCAGTGCAGTCCTTAGCATCCTCCGGCTCAACCTGGTTTTGCAAGTTGTTAGATAAAGGGTGCTCCAAAAATTCAGGAAAGAAAGAGGGAGTTATTCTATTGATTTTTAATAAGCTTCAGATAAAGTCTTTTACATACTGTATATTTTCCTTACATCATGCAGAAGTTCTGAAGCAGAAGACATGCAAAAAGGATCTGGCAGCTCACTGGGAACATGTCAGTGACTTCACCTTTTACATACAGATTGTTATTTTTATGCTGCAGTACAGCAGCAATTTGGGGGTCACAGCTGGAGTTGCAATTTAATAAAATAAGAAACAAACAGGTATGCCAATGAAATTCAATAGATTATTTAGTTAAGTAACTGTGACTTTCTGCAGTGGGCTAGTGGAAAGTTGGATCACAGAGAAAGATAAGTGGGTGCAGCTCTCATACTTCATATTTTATACCTGAAACTGCTGCACTTAATTCTTTCTGAACCTATGCCCAGATTAGTCAGATTGTTCTTTGTTTGATGTCAGTATTTCTTACTCATCTGCCATTTTAAGACTAACTTTGTCCTTGCAAGCAAACATGAAAATTGATGCCTTTTAATCCCTACCCAAATAGGCTCACAAATAGGTCAGAGTAGGACAATAAAGCACTATGTCCTCTCAAATAAATGAACAAGAACATATTAATGACAGTGCAAAGCTCCCGAAATATGTCTACAGTTTGGTCACTACGACAGCAGACAGAGGTGAAGAGACACCTGCTGAGAAAGCAGATACACAGAGCAAAGCTTCTTGCTATTGCAACCCTACTGCTGCAGTCTCTGAGCTCGTCATGCAAAGGGCAGCAAATGTACTCTGTATTGCACTGGAGCTTTCAGTGCTCATGCTTTTGCTAGCCCGCTATACAGCCCCTTCTACAGCATATTAAGTCTCACAGCAGCAGCTGCTCTTCACAGCATCCGACTCTGCCTCACCTCTCCTTCTGCCTCGGCGAGTACATCTTCCTGTCCCAAACACATTTGAACAGCTGCAAGCAGCAGACCAAACTGGAGTCCAGCAAGCTGTGCTATGCTTGCGAATCCAGTTCTGCTCCTTTAAATCAGAAGCAACCCTTAGACCTTAACCAAAAATTACATTTATTAAGTTTTCCTATGTAGAAAGTAACTATAAATTAAACACAACATACAACAGATATGTGCTTGTGTGATCACACACAGGTCTTAAATGTTAAGTGCTATTACTAGAAATAAATAATTCCGCTCATGCCCTCACCTGTGGAAGGATAACATAGCCTGTCTTCTGGAGAACAGTCCTTCATAAAAGGCAGAGATGACATGAAGGAATTCCCCTCTCTGTCACGAACTTTACTTCTCAGTCTATCAAAGAGTGACTCAAGACTACCCTTCGGTGCAGAGTCATCCAGATTGTCCTTGGAGGTGTTCTGGGGCTCTGGAGATGAAAGAAGGAGGTACTTTTCATTACAGATAAATACATCATCCGTGGGAGCCCCAGATGTAGTCTCTTTAAAGGTAAACTTCTCTAGGAGTCCCGGGACATCCTCCATCCTAGTGCAAGATGATTTCTGAGGTATACTGGTCATCTTGGAAGGGCTGGTGTGAGGATTGTAGACTGGGAAGGATACCTCCTTGTTGTAATCCCTTAGAGATCTCTTTTGAGAGCTGACAGAAAAATGAGATGGATTTGAGAGAGGGCTCCCATTTCCTAAATACTCTCCTGCCCACTCCCTTACTTCAAGCTCCTGTGGCTGAGTGTTATTTATTCTATTATTGTTACTGTTCCTTTGGCCTAGAGAATAGCCAGGAGTACTGGGGAAGCTGAAAAAAGCTTGTTCTGAAGAGGCTTTGGCTTTGCTGTCTGAGTCCTGCTTTAGCCCTTCTGGAGATGAGGTTAGAGGCTCCAAAATGGACCTCTTGATTACATTGGCTATGAGCCTCAGCGGTGATTTTGGCTGGCCAGCTGCGTGCTCCCTGGCAACTGCCTCTGTACTCCTCAGAGCATCTTTTGTGTCAACGGGCAAAGCTGGTTGAGCATCATCTGCAAATAAGTGAGGAGTAGGACAAGCAGATAGTTTGAATATATCTTTTCTCCAGTCAGCATCCTTCTCCTCTGAAGTCCCCATTACTCCTTTGTTTTGATACCCCGGACTGGTTTCACCTAAGTCCACCCCGTTTGAATCATATGAGTTGAGTACAACAGATGTACTTCGCTGTTGAGTACAAAGCACCAGCCTCTTTTTTGCCTCCTCTAATTCTTGCTCAAGCTTTTCTTCTGGGTGCCTTGTATTTTTGTCATCTTTTTCTTTCAAATCCAGAGATGACAGTATTTTTGTCTTCCTGTTAATATCTTCTGGTTCAGAGGTATATTTCTGGTTTTTTTCCTTCCAGCCCTGGGCTGTGGATGTCCCAATGTCACCATCTATATCTTCAGGCTCAGAAAAATCAGCAGTCAGTGTCCCATTCCCAGGAGAGATCCGTGGAGAACCTCTGGTGCTGCTCTGAAAAGGACAATGGGGTACATAGAGATGGATGTCTTCAGGCATCTCTCTGGCTTTTTCTTTTCTTTGAAATACTGGGCTGTAGGGTTTGAAATGTCCTCTTGTAACTTCTGGTGGTTTCTTGTAAGAAGCCAACTATGAAAAGAAGATTATTTTAGGAGTAGAAAAATACAATTCAGTGTATCGTTTATTTCATACAATATTTTAATCAATTTCAATCTTAACATAATACTAATAAATATAATATTTTCTTTATATACACACATACATATGTAGACAATAATACAATAGGAAGAAAGGCTTTTCTCCCTAAAGGGCTAATATTTTTCTAGGACTGGAGATCTAATACTACTGGAAGATTTAATAGCCTAAAAATAATGTTTTTCATGCTAAGAATCTGTCATATCGGTACAAATTGCTTTTAATATTTTCCTCATAACAAAACAGTCCCATCTACAGGAAAATAAACAGAAGCAGATCTGCTCTATTCTCCTGGGTGCATTTCAGTTGCATCACCTTAGAGTTTCCAGCAAGCAAAGAGACCATCATCTATCCTTTCCAATTGCATTTATAATATTGCATGCTAACATGGTGCAGGTAGGAATGAATGAAGTGACCCAGAAAAGACTGTAAAATACAAGATGGTAGTTTTGAACAATTCAGTTAGTTCTCTCTTATGATTATGTCTCCTTTGGTGAAGATTTAAATTCATTACTCTAGCTACCAAAATCTTCTGCTGGAGATAGTAACAAGGAAAAATGCCTGCATTACCTAGCCAGCAGACCAAACCCAGAGTTTCTTAACATCTTGAAAGGGAGGCATTTTATCTTCAATGCTGTGTGATCACGGATGGTGAGAAGATTAAATTCCTGTTTCCACTTTTGTGCCAGATTCCCAAATTCACGTGGGTGAAGCCATTAATCTGTCTGTCTTCTTGTTCCCCAGAAGCAAGGCAATAATGGTTACTCCTTGTTTCACAGTTTTATTTGATGACTAAAATTAATATTGGCCAGGATCTCAGATAAAAAACCATGAGGAACACCAAGAAACAAACACCCTCTTAATCCTCTCTCTTTAGAGTAAGAAAGAGGACACCAAGCGCTGCTTATAGAGCAGGAGTTGCACGGAGTCACCTCTCCTCGAGTGCAGCATGGCCAGGCAGCATTGTGCAGCTCTGCTCCCCTGGGACGTTCCCTTCCTGGCCTATTGTCCTGGACCGGATTTCAACTACCACCGTGGACGTGGAAGACTTGATTTTTTTTCTAATGCAGACCTGAGGTCAAGCAACTTTAATCATGTTTAACCCAAGGGTGAGAACAACGAGCTAGAACACGGAGGACATGGGCTGGTCCCTACTCCGCCCAGCTCCAAATCCGGGGGACGTGCTGCCCTTTGCTTGGGATGGTCAGTCATGACTCCTGCTGCAACACTGCACTTAGGGCAGGCCCACCCTTCATCAGCCTTAAAAAAAAAAAAAAACAAAAAAAACCAAAAAAACAAAAACCAAAGGAATTCCTAGGTCCTGATGGAAGCTGAAGATGCTCCTGAGCTATGGGAGGTGTGGAGTCACTGGAACAGGTTGCCCAGAGAAGCTGTGGAGGCCTCATCCCTGGGGTTATTCAAGGCCAGGCTGGATGGGGCTTTGAGCAACCTGGTCTAGTGGGAGGTGTCCCTGCCCAGGGCAGGTGGGGGTGGAAGTAAATGATCTTTAAGATCCCTTCCAACCCAAACCATTCTATGATTCTATGATTCTATGAGCAAAGGCCTGCTGCAAATTAGGAAAAGAAGTCTTCTGCCAACCAGATGCCAGGGGTAAACATTAGACACAGGCACACCTATATATAAGGACTGTAATGGCCTGAAACCACCCAGGCTCCCATGCCAGGTTGCCTATGGCCTGGACTATGTGACCCCTTACCTCAGCTTCCAGATTTGCTCTCCAAGGCCAGTACCAGCACTTGCCTTTCCCCTGGTGATGGAAGTGGCATTTAAGCCACTCAGATGCGATCCCCTCTCACCCCACCGCTGCTGGCACCTGGCCTTGCCCAACATGCCACACATTAAGACCTGTCTCCATCCAACCCTACCAGCAGATGGGCAGACCAACAGCCAGCTCGGGAGCACCAGGGGACAGAGATCTGGGAGGTTTCCTGTCCTTTGGGCAGAAACCGTGGCACAGGGGAAATCCCAGTGGCAGTTAAGGGAAGGGCAAGGTGCTAGTGCCTACACGTTGGCCGATGCAACAGGTTAGTGCCTAACTCAGTGCCATCGAGGTCCAAGTCCCACAGAAAGCAAATGCCACTTAGCCACATGATCTGGGTATGGCTGTATCAATCAGAGCATCAAAGTCTCTTCCCTGTGTATAGCACAGGCATAGCTTCAACTTTAGTGGTTGCTGTGAGGACCAAAACTATTTAAGAGAGCAGAGGGTTCTCAGACAGCCTGCTAAGAGCAGACATGCCAGTAGTTACACCCATTTTGCTGTGCACAATTCTCCTTCGTACCTGTGTTTGGGAGTGATCCTCTCCAGGACCACTTTGACAGCTGGCTGAGCTGTCCTTCCAGTGTAGCCCAGGTTTCTTGCTGGACAGCAGAGGGAAACCTGCCAAAGACACAAATTTTGCCGTCATATTTGTATTGCTTTTGTCTTAGATAAAGTTTGCAATTAAAGAACAAGTGTAGGAAGTTAAAAAGTCATCTGGAGCTACAGTAATGAAGTTTATGGCCACAGTCACGTATGTGCACGCTGTGCCAAACACATGTTGACATTTTCAGTGGTGGATCTGAACTGCTTCCACTTTTTGTCTGGACATAGTGAAGCAGCTTTTGAGTTCCAGGAAACTTTCTGGAAAGTCATCCCTCTTTAGAGGGCTTCCAGGCCTTCAAAGAAGAGGCAGTCAAAACCATCGACTTTTGAAACTTTGGGTACTTCTGAGAAACGAAGAAAATAGATGACTTCTGAGAGTGCTGTCTGTCAGAGCGGGAAAGAAATGGGAAATGCAACCACCTGCAGGCAGTAAGGACAGAAACAATCCCGCTCTGTCCCAAGCCAGGCCAATGGACACTGCGCTGGGGGCTCTCTGAGGACCAGGCAAGGTAACTAATTGCTAATGGCCTTGAACCAAAACTAGCACGCACAGACTTAGACCTGCTGGGAGAAAAAAATAGGGAGGTAACTTGTCTCTGAAGGGAGTTAGGAGAGCTCTCTAATCTTTGTGCTTGCGGGAATTTTACATAATAAATAATATTTGGACAGAAGAAAAGTATCCCTGAGCCAAGATATTACCATGTCAAGCTTTAACATGACAAGTATATTTACAGCCAAATTATTAACTCCCAAACCCAGTTATTAGTTCTGAAACCCACAAAGGCTCCCAAAGCAAACTTTGGTTCTTCTACATCAGGACTGAAAGCTGCGTAAGGACAAAAACACACCGGACAGAGAAGACAGTTCCTGCACACGGACTTCAGAAAAGGAAAACCAGGGAGAGAGGCCAAATTTCCTTTCCTCTCAGCGTCTCACCTGCTCATTCCCAATCTTGATGCAATTTGTTACATTCAGTCAAGAACTGAGGGAAACGATGCGCTGGAGTTCATTAAGGAACTCCCACGGGGACCAGCAACCAAGGGCTGACCTTTAAATTCTATATAGCGAATTGAGCCATGAGAAAACGTGAGAATCCAGAATTAGGATAAAAGATACCCACTGTTACCTGCATAAATGAGCCAGGGGTGGTTACCCTGGTCCACTAAGGCCCTTGGCCCCCTCACACGGGCAAACATCATGGCTCAGCACACTGAGGGGAAATACCACCTTTGCAGCAGCAGCAGCCGTAACACTGATGAGGGCTTAAAACCCACAGCCCAGGAGTCTGCAGGGTACCAGCACCTGCCTGTGGGGAGAACTATGTCCCACTACGGCTTTTGTGGGCATGCATTAGCTTACAAGGACAGGGCCAGCACATGTGAGAACACGGCTTTGCGCAAAGCCACAGCTTGCCGTCTTTCACAGAGATAATGGATTTATTCCCACCAAGATGCTGAATCCATATTTGCAGCTTCACATTCAAAACAGGATTTAAAAAAAAAAAGTTCCCTAGGGCACTATCATCATCTGCTTGGCCCAAAAGCTACTCCAAGTGACCAAGATAAATTAAGAGCACGGCGTTCCCCATCACACGGCCACAGGGATTAAAGATTTTGAAAGGTAATATCCTGCTCTGAGCCTTTCAGCCAATATAGCCACGACACTGATTTCCTTTCCTTGGCTGCATACCTCGTGCTGTTTATGAAACATATGTGTTTTGGGAAATAAGTCTGAAAAGAAGACAGTTTTTCTTTCATGTGACTGATGATCATATGAATTCTTGTAAGCAAATATTAAGTGGGTTAAATATAGAAACTAAGACTTACAGTGTTCCTCCAGAGAGTAAAAAATGTCTTTATTCTGTTCCCAGTATACGCTGAATGTACTTTACACCTCATTTTAACAGCATACTTGAGGTTCAGTCATGCAGCGTGTAGCTTCCCTCTCAAAGGCTTTTAGCTCCCTCTAGAGCCCTTTGGAGGCACACGGAGATTTTAATAAAATGATGGGAAAATTAATTCACAAACGAGTAAGTAAT